ACGACTCCATGGTTGTCAGTGGCCGCTTGATCGGTTGATCTGTATACTCAACGACTGCGTGTGCCAAGAAATAGGGCTTCAATTTTTTAACGGCCATGAAGAGAGCAAGACCAAACTTTTCTACTAAGGGATACCTCAACTCGACGTTCTTCAATACGTGGCTGACAAAGTTTTGACCGGGAGCTGGCAGCCGTCTCTTTCTGCAAGAAGGACAGCGCTTAGAGCATGGTCAGAAACTGCCAGATACATGTAAAGCACTTCTTTGGGCAAAGGACTGACCAGCCTTGGCAAGGAATGTAAGTGAACTTTTAATTTTTGGAAGGCCGCCTCAGCATCCGGCCCCCATTCAAATCTTTCCTTTTTCTTTATTGCCTGAAAGAAGTAAAGGAACTTGTCGCCTGACCGGCTGAGAAATCTTCCTAGAGCCGCCAGGCAACCTGTTAACTTCTGAACCTCTCAGACGGTGCGAGGCGATTGCATGTCAATGACCGCCTGCACTTTCTTAGGATTTGCCTCTATTCCTCTCTGATTGATGAGAAATCCGAGAAACTTCCCAGACTCAACTCCAAAAACACATTTCATGGGACTGAGCATGACATGGTGCCGCCTGAGTGTGGTGAATGTTTCTCGGAGGTCCGACAGATGGTCTGTCTGAAGCTTGGACTTAACAATCATATCATCGATGTATGCCTCGACGTTCCTCCCAATTTGGTCAAAGAAGACCGTATTTATCATTCTTTGGAAGGTGGCCGGGGCATTCTTTAAACCAAACGGCATGACCGTGTAGCAATATAGCCCTTGATCAGTGACGAAGGCCGTCTTCTCCTGATCTTTCTTCCACAAAGGAATCTGATGGAAGCCAGAGTAGGCGTCCATGAAGCTCATCAAAGCATGGCCAGCTGTTGAGTCGACCAGACTGTCAATTTTGGGTAGAGGATAACTGTCCTTGAGGCATGCCTTGTTTAGGTCAGTGTAGTCCACACACATTCGCCAGGTACCATTCGGCTTTTTAACAAGTACCACATTTGCCGAATGAACCCTGCATCAAGTAGCTTTTTAACTTCGGCGGCTGCCGCCTGGCTCCTCTCTTCGCCATGGTTCCGCTTCTTTTGCCTGACCGGCTTCTTTTTCGGATCCATGGCCAGTTTATGTACCGCCAGGTCAGGACTGATGCCTGGCATTTCATGAACTTCGAATGCGAAGATGTCTTTGAATTCCTTCAAAAGTCGGTGAAAATCTTCACCCAAAATTTTAAGAGCAGTCGTCCCAACCTTAACTGTTCGGTCAGGACGCGAGTCGTCTAGGACAAGGTTCGTATGCTCACCAGCCGGCTGAGGGCGGAATTCATCTGACCGCTCCTCTGCCGGTGATTGCTATCTTCTTTCTTTTCTTTCGGCCCCCAATTGGGCAGCCTTTCTTTTCTTGCCGCCTGCTTTTTGAGCAGGCGCATCCTCCTTGACAATTTCAAGGTCCGTTTTTTCACCACTTGGCCCAGCGACCACCACAGTGGGTTTAATATCCGAGAGGTAGCACTCCCGGGCCATCTTCTGATCTCCCCTTAGGGAGCCGAATGTCCCATCATCCTTCTCAAATTTGAGCAGCATAAGGGATGGGATAATGACAGCTTTTGAGTTGTTTAGGGTAGGTCGTCCCAGGATCATGTTGTAGGCCGAGAGTTCCTCAACCACTAAGAACTGGACTACCATGTGACGGCCCTCCCCTTTCTCACCCAGACAGATGGGTAAATCCACTCGCCCTACTGGGTGTACGACTCCTCCTCCAAACCCTACTAAAGGGTGGGATACCGGATGTATGCAATTAGTCTTGTATTTGAGCTTTGACAGGAACTTACTGCTGATAAGATCAGAGGAACTACCGGTATCAATGAGGAGGCCAACTCTTTGGTTGGCCACTTTGCACTCAATAACAATGGGGTCATCATGCGACCCTTTTACCCCTCCTAGATCTTCTTCTGTGATGACAATCTCTGGGAATGAACTTTTGGAGGACCGTTCTTGATGAACGGAATTAACATCTAGCCGCCTGATATTGTCTTTATTGCCCCTAATAGTGGGGCCGCCTCCTGAGAAGCGGCCTGCAATTGTGTAGACGACTGCATCATCTGTATCAGAACTATCGGCCTGTTGATTCTTTTTGGCCGACTGCTTGTTCTTTGAGGAAGTGTTCCCCTTAGACTTCTTGACATAGGAGTCAAGGTCGCCTTGTTCAGCCAGGCGGTCTAGGTAGCGCATGAGGCTGATGAATTCGTTGGTTTCATGGACAACGTCTTCATGATAATGGCAGAATTTGTCTTGGTTCTGATTGTTCGCAGAACCCTTCATGGGGGTCGGCTTCTCAATTGAGATCCGACCCTTGATTTCTTTGAGGATAGCTTGACTATCCTTACTGAACGCATACTTCGGAGAGTATGGTTTGAATTCTTTTTTCTTTTTCTGGGCCGGCTGTTTAGAGGAATCAGCCGCCCAGACCTCTTTTCTCTTTTTATCATCTTTATTGGCCGACTGCTTTGGTCGGCCTTCTTTTTTGTCGGACCTCCATCCATCCGACTGCTTTCTAGTACTTAGAGATCAGTCACCTATATATAGGCTTCTACTTCAATCAAAGCTTCTTGAAGAGTCGCAACCCTCTTTCGAACCAAGTCAAACTTGAAGGTCGACCCATCCTTGAGACCTATGAAAAGGTCAGTGTAGGCTACCTCATCCGGCAGCCCTTGAATCTGTATCCTCATCAGGTTGAACCGCCTGATGTATGAACGGAGCCCCTCCTTTTCACCCTGCTGAATCGTCCCTAAATCAAGGGTCGTCTTTTTTGCAAGTATGTTCATGGCAAAGTTGGAGGTGAATAAGTAAGCAAGCGTCCTGAAATTATTCACACAACCAGTCGGCAGGTTGCCGAACCATTGTTGTGCGATTCCTTTGAGAGTCGCTGGGAAGCACTTGCACCAAGTGGGGTCATCCAACCCTTGAAGGTACATTAGGTTGGGGAACGCCATCAAATTGTCTTCAGGATTAGTAGTGTTGTCATAGGCGCCTACTAGCACATTTTTAACTTTGGCCGGCTGAGCGGCCTCAGTAATTTCCTTAGAGAAGGCGGACGGCTGTTCTCCAAGTCTTAGCAACCGTAGTTGCCAGTCCAAAGGCTGGACATTTTTTGCCGCCTGTCCTCCAAACAGAGGTGGCTGCAAAAAATATTGTTGTTGCGGTACATATGGCAAGTTTGGTACCGCCTAATCTTTATGAAATCCAGACCGACGGGAGGTGCCGCCTGTTTGACTCTCATGATTTGACTGAGTATACCTCATAGAGGTATGGTGCAGACTATCTTGGAAGTCTGAAGTGGAGGCCGACTCTGACAGTCGGTCATTCTTCTTCTGCTCTAGCAGTAGCCGAGCGTCTGAGTATGTTTTCTTTGACCCGTTCGCCTGTATATGACGAATGAGCTTTCTCTTCCCTGGTGAGGGGAAACGGTACTTTGTCAAGTCAAGCACAGGCGGCTCCCACTTCCTAGAGTTAGGGTGAAGGGTCACCTCTCGACCTTGAACATACTTCCTTCTCCCTAAATGGGAAGGATTTTTAGCCGACTGCTCCTTAGACAGAGCAGGCGTCTTCTTATTGATCAGTTCTTGGATCTCCCCCTTTAACCCCCTCATGAAGGTCATGATTTCGTTTCATGTAAAGGGAGCAGACCCTTCAGCCGCCTGTTGCTGATCAGGCGGTTTGCCGGCTAGATTACTGGGTCCAGTTTGGTGATCTACCCGTTCCTTCCTTTCGGTGTGACAGGTGCGCCGGGCCCTTAGGGTCCCGTCTGAGGCTGTGTGTGTTTCAACTTCAGCCTCATTCTCAGTATCATGATCTGAGTAGACTTGAGGGTCGTCCAGTGGACGCCTCTCTTCTGGAGTTCGTACGGACGTTGATGCCATCTCAGAAGTACTCTCCCCACAGACGGCGCCAAAATGTTTCGGGGTTTTTTGATGTCGTGCAGGAGAGTTACAACTCCGAGACTGGAACCGGACGCCTGTACCTTCAAAACAAACGGAGACTCCGAGTGGTTGGAGCTCCGCCTCCAACAGTCAAGTTAGTACTTGTTTAAGGAGTAATTAATGCGGAAAGGTAAAGTGTATTTCTCTAGGTGAGAGTAATTAATGAGCGCAATCCCCTTTAATGAGGATTAATGTGCATATTTATATGCCACGGGATGCGTGCCAAATCCTAGCTTTAGGTTAAACCTAAGGCTGACTGGGCCTACTCCAAGGATTGGGCCTAGGTGGCCGGTTATCCCATGTGTCATGGGGAGGACACGTGTCGTGTCGTAATTGGTCCATGGTGGACGGATCACTGCCTGACACGTGGCAGGCTCCTATTGGCCCATGTAACGGACACACGGTGGAACCTGAATGGTCCACTAGTTAGATGGTGATTGGTAGAGAAAAATCCCCTAATCAGAAGATATATATGAATAGTGCAAAAAATCAAACTAATTAAGTTATTTCATTTTTAAAAATAAGTTTAGGAATGTAATAAATATGGGAAAATAATTAACTAATACGAAGTACATACTCCTTAATATGGTTAACTAGTTGTCCAAATAATGACCAATTTTAGTTAAGCGTAGTTTGCCCTACTCAAATACCCAATCACTTTTTCTCTTCAACTTTCAGGTACAGCTGCCAGTCAACTCATAACTCAGTTCATAAATTTTATCAATACACAAGAATGTATTACTACTCAACGTAACTCAAACCCTAACCAACAGCTACTACTTTCATCTTTTCTCTTCTCCATCTAGCTTAAACTCAAAACTTTTACGCGAAAATTGATTATTGTCTGTAAGTCATTCCTTTTCGATCTCTCGATTTCTTCTCCGTCCATCATCTCCAATCGTTATATGCATCTTTGTCCATAGAGAAGGTATCATATAAATTAGAAGATCGAAACACGATTTTCGAAACAACCAGCGGAAAAGGAAGGAGATCAGATAAAATGAGTGTTCCTGAGTCAAGTAATAATAAACAGCTTCAACATATGTTACAATCAGCTGTGCAAGCAGTTCAATGGACTTACAGCCTCTTCTGGCAATATTGTCCTCAACAAGGGTAAAAATTCTTTAATTCGTACTTAAGAAAAAAATTATGGTGTAGTTGTATTAAATTAATCAGAAAATAATATCAACTAGTTATTTACCAATTTTATACAAAAGATGTTAATTAAGATGGTAAAACCTACCTAGAAAATTATTTATTAATTATAATTAGGTTGCTTTAAATAATTTTCTGGTGCCGCCACTGTAAGGCCCTGTTCACTTCACCTTAAAAAAATAATATTACATAAAAATAATTTCAGTTCAGTAAAAATCAGTTTTAATCAGTAAAAATAATTTAAGTTCAGTAAAAATAAGTTCAGTAAAAATAATTTCAGTTCAGCAAAAATAATTTCAGTTCAGTAAAAATAATTTAAGCTCAACAATAATAATTTCAGCAAAATTAATTTAAGTTCATGTACTTTGATGCTTTTTTTTACTAGGCTTTTTAATGTAAATTATTTTTTCCATATATTGCAAAATATTGTCGTACAAGATTTTTTAATACTTCACATATATTTTTTTTATGCATCACTTTTGTCTATACTTTTATCACATATTGTATAGTTATAAAATATAATATCTTTATTTTTTGTCGAGTATAAAATATTATGTCTTATTGATAATATTGTAGTCGGTGATATTTGGTAAATACAAGTACTATATTTTATAAAAGGGTAACAAAATTCATCGTAATAGCATACCTAATCAATTACAATAAATTCAATAAGATATTGAAATATGATATTCATATATGATTATATATGCATGATCTATATACTACCAATATGTCGTTATATTTTTTTTTGCTTAAATATCACATGCCTTGATATGATCAATCAATCTACCAATATTTGCTATAATTATTTGTAAATTACATGCAGTTAACCAACATATACGTAGTATTGACTGACAATTCAAACCAAAAACTTAATTAACAATATTTTTTTTCATGCATGTCATAAATTGTGCTAAAGTCTTTTGGTTTGAGATCGTTAACTCCAACTTGCTGCTTTAGAAACTATTTTAACAATCAACTATATATTTTAATAGTCTCATATATATATATACATATATATATATATACATATATATATATATCATAATGGTGTCAGTGTGTTTGACTTTTATTTAATAAATTGTAGAATGTTTTATTTTATGTTCAACAAATGTAATTAATTATTTGCATAAAAAAAAACAAATGTAATTAACTATTAAACAGAAATATAAATTTTTGTTTAAAAAGGATTGTTTAAGATATTTATTTTATTTTGAAAGTAAATTCCTAAATTGAGTACATATATATGGTTAGCACGCATATTGTGTGTAAGATTTCACAATATTGTACAATTTGTTTTTTTGGAAAAATAAAGATCATAAATTATATGTCAAAGTATCTTTATAGTACTCTATAGTGCCTATAAAAATCTCTTTTTCATAACTCTAGTTCATCCAAGTCGAGCTTGTAGCTTTCAAATCTTAATGGGTTCGAGAACCAAATTCACCAATGACACTACTAAAAAGTTTTTGGAGATTCTTCTCCAAAACAAATTAGATGGAAACTCAAAGTTAGATTGGGAAAAAATTGTGCGTAAACTGGACAAATTTTTTCTGAGAAATCTCTGCAAAATCATTTTGCAGATTTGAAAGGAAAATATATAGCTTGGTATGAATTGAAGACGGGTGCTGGTTGGACGGGTCTTGCTTTTGATGCAGTTACTGGCTGCCCTCTCATCAAACAAGATGATAGGTGGGCTGCATTTGTTAAGGTATTAAACTTTGTTTTCTGTCATCTATTATTCAAATTATGTTAATGATGTATGGCAGTAATTTTAGTTACCGTAATTATTTTGTTATACAGAAACATAAAGGAAGACCCATACAATTCTTGAAGAGGCCATTAGCTAATGAAGATCTGCTGCATGCTTATTTTAAGGGAACTTTTGCAACCAATAAATTGGCTATCTCCCCATCAATGGCAAAAAATGCATCACTATTTTCCGATTATGAAGATCAAGAACCCACAGGAGACAATGATGATGAGCAAGATGATTCTTTAAATTTAACCCCCGAGGATAACAATGTAGATCATGAGAATTATTCTTCTAGAATATCACCTCCTCTAGGAAAGCGTAAGAGTTTGGGGGAAACTAGTAAAATTAATAAAAAGAGGATGAGTGACATTGATAAGTGTATAGAGCTTGTGAAGTCAACTATTCAGGCTGAGTCATCAAAGGTACAAAGTAATCCAGTACAAGAAAAGTTCAATCTTCTTGCTGCAACTCTTAAAGAGATTCCTCAAATGAAAGATTACAATGATTCTTTTTATATCCATGTTTTGGAGTACATAACTAAAGATCACAATGGGGAATTTTTCATGGCACTTACTACTAATCATCAGAAATTGCTTTGGTTGAAGTCAAGGGGTATAGCTTTTCCTGGAGACTATTATACTCCCCAATTAGATGATGAAATAAATGACTTGGACTTGTCATAAGTAGTAAAAACTAATGTGGTAGAGATTATTATGATGAAATAAATGAGTGTTTATTTTAATAAAAACTTTGATCCTTCTTTATAATATGAATAAAATAATTTCATTTTATTTCTTTTGACGTTGTATGTTTATTATTATTATTATTATTTTTTTACTATTATAGATTTTGTATGGTGTAAATCATGCATGCTCTGGTTTATGTACAAGTTCCTTTGATTATAAAAGGAATAGGTAACAACAGAATGAAATTACACGTTTTTGAAGATTCACGGTTTATTACAGATCGAATTCCTCATTAAAGTAGTATCAGCATTCGGCTAGTTTGTACAGAGTCATCAATTGATGAGATGATACTGACTTTGTAATTAAATTTTCATGAAACATCCCTTTGTAATGAATTGATGAGATAATGCATGCACCTAAAGGCTGTAATAACTTATAAGTGGTTATGATTATCGATGATTAGAGCTGAATTGTATGCTGGTGGGGATGCATTTCCTTGTACGTTGACATATGAAAATCCATGCAAAATTGCACACAAATGTCATTATACCTGAGATGACCTTATACAAAACAAGCCTTAAGGGTTTAATTTTACAATAAAAATAACAATCATTTAAGTATCCTATTCGCAAGGGATGGGGAAGCTGTACATGTCTGATCACTTATCAATGGAACAAAATATTAATATTCCTAATTACAACATATATTTAACTTTTCTCAAAAAAAAAATTTACATATATTTAATAATATCTTATTGATAAAAATTGTAGTTCGTTATTTTTGGTAAATACTATATTTTTGGTAAATACTTTGTTAGTTTTACCATATATGTATTTGAGGAAAACTTTATTTGTTAAAAAAGAAATATGAGGAAAACGTTATATACGCAACTTTTTTTTTTGACAAGTTATTATATGCAATTTTTTTTTTTGGTAAATATATATGATATATACGAGATATTGAAAAAGATATGGGCAAATCAATCTCTTTCCTTTGCGTTCTTTGTCCTTCATATATATGGTAAAACAAATAATACCCTTGTATTGCATGTAGTTTTAATTGCTTATATATATACATATATATATGTATATATGTATGTATATGTATATATATATATATATATATATATATATATATACATATACATACATATATACATATACATACATATATATATATACATATACATACATATATATATATACATATACATACATATATATATATATATATACATATATATATATATACATACATATATATATATATATATATATATATATATATATATATATATATATATATATATATATATATATACTACTTGGGTGGGACGAATTGGACAATCATAAAAATATACAATACTTTTTGTAACCATCTACATATTGAAGGTTATACGTTAATATTTTTTTAATATTTTTTTTTATATTTTTTGTTTAAATTTGAGATCTCACTTCTTGTTGTTGCTTTTATATTGTAGAATGGACAATGAGTTGCTTCAGAAATGCATACTGTTTTTGGTACTATATGAATTGTTGAGACTCCTTACCCCAATTCATCGCTTACCTTTAAGGATCGGGGGTGAAAGTGGATCAGCATATATAACAAGGTTGTTAACAGTTCATCCTGATTTGTTTAAAGAGCAACAAAGATTGGATAGGGATATGTTTGTGCGACTAGTCCAATTGATGATAGAAAAAAATTTATTATCGGACAGAAGGTTTGTAAAAGTGGCTGAACAAGTAGGAATTGGTCTATTTATATTGGCAAGAGGGGCATCTCAACGCCAAGCTGCTGACACGTTTAAGCACTCAATATCCACAATTAGCAAATATTTCATAAGGGTGTTGCAAGCATTGACAAGATTGTCATGTGATTTAATTCGTCCTTATCAAGATTTGGCCGATACACCACCAGAAGTACAAGAAAACTCATTATATTGGCCTTTTTTAAGGTTAGTATGTTATTTAATTTTCATATAAATGCATTTATAAAAGCATAATTTAATAATAAAAAAATTAATTTTTTCATGTGTTAGGATTGTGTTGGTGCTTTAGATGGAACTCATATTAGTGCAGTTGTGTCCGATGGTGATGGTCAACCGTTTCGAGGACGTAAAGGAACTAAAACTTGGAATGTACTAGCCTCATGCTCTTTTAATAGGTTATTCACATTTGTCAATGTTGGATATCAAGGAAGTGCTCATGATATAACGGTGTGGAGAAATTGCTTAACTGATCCTAAATTCGAATTTCCACACCCTCCTCTAGGTAGGTAATTCTTTAATATTATTTTCTTTTAGCAGGATAATTTATTCTAATAAAAATTTTATTTTCTTATCAGGAAAATATTATTTAGTGGATTCTGGTTATCCTAACACACTCGGTTATTTGAGTCCAATTAAAGACAAGCAGACAAGGTATCATATGCCAGAATTTCACAATGGTCCTCCACCTCGAGGAATGCTTGAACATTACAATTATCGTCAATCTTCATTGCGTACTACAATTGAAAGGTGTTTTGGCAACGTTAAGGGGCAATGGAAAATTTTGAAAAACATGCCACAAATGTCTCAAACATATCAATTATCAATCATCTTATCAACGTTTACTCTTCATAATTTTATCCGATTGTACACTTTAGGGATACCAATTTCAGAAAGATGTGCAAATGTTGAGCCTAGAGCGGAATACTCCATATTTGATGAAGGTAGGAAAGCTCAGATGGACATAGTACAAAATCAGATAGCAGAACATATTTGGCAATCAGTTAGGGACATCGAGGAAGAAGATCATCATATGGACGTTGAATAATAAACTTAAATAGTCATATGAAATAAGAAGCAATCCTTGTAATAATTTATGATTATAATAAAGTTATGATTTTATTCTTATTATTATTAGTGTTATTGTTTTGGTATGTTTGGTTGTAAAGTTAGGCAATGAAATTAAAGGCAGTATCCATAAACCTAATATCATGTACAAGTATATCAAATACATATTCCCATAATATATAGGCCAACCATTTTTATATACAATATTATGTAAATTTAAATGGTTGGCATAATATATTATCGTTATATATACCAACTATATAAATTACAAAAATAGATTATTTTACCTAATATATATATATATATATATATATATATATATATATATATATATATATATAATCAGTAAAAATAATATCTAAATCAGTAAAAATAAGTTCATTTCAGTAAAAATAATTTCAGTTTAGTAAAAATAACTTCAGTTCAGTAAAATAAGTTCAGTTCAGTAAAAATAATTTCAGTTCAGTAAAAATAAGTTCAGTTCAGTAAAAATAATTTTAGTAAAAATAAGTTCAGTAAAATTCAGTTTTAATCAGTAAAAATAATTTCAGTTCAGTAAAAATAATTTCAGTTCAGCAAAATTAAGGTGAAGTGAACGGAGCCTAAATATAAAAATTAAAGCATTTTTATCTATATGTGAATAGGTTATTAGTCCGGCTAGATGGGTATTACAATGGAGCTATAAAGACGAGAAAGATGGTGCAACCAATGGATGAATCAAGAACTGCGGAGGAAGCATGTCTACAAAGAAGCCAACAGCTTAAAGAACTCTACGAGTCGTTATCAGCCGGAGAGTCGAACAACCTGCAAGACGGCCATGTGCAGCGTTGTCGCCGGAGGACTTGACGGAGTCTGAGTGGTTTTATCTCATGTGTGTCTCTTTTTCTTTCCCTCCTGGTGTAGGGTAAGTTTTCTTTTAGTTGCTTGCTTATCATTTCATTTTCTCTTTTTTTTTTTTTTTTTTTTTTTTTTTTTTTGTTTGCTAAGTCATACTCCCTTAATTTGGCCATCAAAAAATGTTTCATTTGATTATTTATGTTCTCTTACTTTCATAAGCGTAAGATTATAAACAAAAATTTAAAATAAGTATTAAAACAGGTAACATTTAAACAAAATACTACATTTACTTCTAAAAATCCAATTTGAGGCACTTAATATTCATATGGTGGTATTCCGAATGAAATAGATTTAGTTGCATATTCTTATTTAAATAGATATGTTAGATTCGTCTAAATACAAATTTTTAAAATTTTAACTTTAAATAATGCAGTCATACACAATAATAATTGAACATATTTTTTGGTTAAAGATGTGCATTACCATGTAAATTTCAAAATATCGAGATTGTTATATACACCGGGTGCACGGCCGTGCACCCATGAGTATTTTGTTCCCATATTTATAATTGTTATTTTTCATTTAATCTTCAAATGAATAGCAAAAATTAACATTAGGATAATTGGGTGCACGGTGCACGGTGCACCCAGATATTATATAAAAAATTTCAAAATATCATACACAACATCTCTCATGATGATTATGTAGTATATTATATGTTAATAAGAATGTATTATAAGTGCAAGTATTGGCTTTAATTCAAGAAAATACAACATGATCTGACAATCTGTTGTGGTGGAGGGAGTATAAATGTATAATTAAGAGGAATGAATTAGTATGTGCTCCACTACATACATCCTCTACATAAAAGTAAAGTACTCTAGATTGATTCCAATTATAATATTAATTATATGCTTTAGATATAATACATTAACAATAATATTTCGTTGAATTAGTTAATTATATCCCTTCTTAGAAGTAGGTGTAAATAACAAAGTGAAATAATGGATGATCCAGCTGCAAATTAAAGGCTTTAAATGCCTTCTTCCATCTCGATCTAAAAAAGGAAAAAAGAAATAAAGATTCTCTAGCATTACTGTTTTACCACTTAAAGTTACATGTCAATTACTAGTTACTATTTTTATATGTTGAAATTGATTTCTTCTACAATTAAATTTTGACTCTATACTCCTAATAATATGTGGACTGATAGATGATTATAAGATGATGGAAATACTAGATCCTATTGAGTGCCTTAGAGGCTCTTTTGCGAAACCACATTATTAACTATTAAGCCTTTAATTTATATGCATGAATTATTTACATTTTGTGGGAGTTGTTAGTACTTGTGATGAAAATAAGGTAAACCCTAAAAACATTAAGTAGGATAAATGTGTACCGTGATGAATACTTTTACTAGGCAATATACAATGTATATTCAAATATGGGTTGATAAGTAACTCAAATAAGAGGTCGGTGTCAAATATGTCATTCGTATTAAGTGCAACTGCAATAAAATCGTATTCGTGTAATTAGTCATTTTACATGGATTGGCTAATTAAATTAGTTTTAGTTTCAATCAAAAGCAAAAAGTACATAATTAATTAACCCCTAATTTTTTGTTTTTAATTAGGAATACAAATACCTCATGAGGATTCAATCCCTCAACCTACGAGATCATAAGGTTAATTTCCCAATACCTACTCCCAATTTCCCCACACATCGATTAAAAAAACAGCCATATGGTACAAAACTTGTCCGAATATATAAATGATTGCTTTTGTTTTCACATTAGGTCATGTATCTCATTAGGATATCTAGTGAAAATTCAAGGTTACTCCTACAAGACACTAGAACAACAACTAAAAGGTGCACAAATTTCAATCTTTTTCCTATAATTGAAAAAGACTACTATACCCACATGCCACAATTACCCCCTCTTTCTTTGTGTCTCTCTCAAGGAAATAGTTGTAATGCATGAAATTCAAGGTGGAAAGATTAACTAAACACATAGAAGAAATTAAAGGGAGTAATAACTATATGACTATATATAGAAAGACTGTTTGAAAGCTACTATTTATGGAAGATAGGTGAATTAATAGTAGAGTAAATTCAAGTAATTGCAACAATATAGCTGCAACAATTTGGGGTTATATTTGGTGACCACTACAATATTGTAGGAAACCAAAACTATGAACACTACTTATACAATTACTTTCCTTGTCAAGCAGCTGATTTGGATGGATCAGCACGCTTGAATTCAGCTGCTTTTTAAGCTAACCACTAAATTACGTTTTACTATTAATTACTACTTTGTCTTCTTTTTGTTTCTTTGAATATTTAGTAGGGCTGTACACTGGTTCAAAACCGGACCGAACCTGTTGAGACCGGGACCTGAATTAGTTAATTTTGAGGACCGGGGACCGGACCTGATTTAACAGGCCCGGTTCCGGGTCAGACCTGAACAATCAGGTCCGGTCCCGGTTTGGACCTGAACTGACCTGTTTTGTATTTTTTTCGTTTTTTTAATAATTAACCTATCGGACCAATAACAACAATTGCAGCAACAATAACGACAAAAACAGCAGCCACAAACACCACCAATCACCTCCCTCAACTCACGACACAAACACCAACAGCCACCACCGCTGCCATCTCAAACCTACCACCAATTCATGCCAAATCAGCCCCTGCTGCCCAGCAATAACGACCCACAGCAGCCCCTATACCAATCAGCCCACACAACAAGCAATTCCGGCCACCTATTGCCGCCACAATACCACCATAATTAACACCACCTAACGAATTGCAGCAGCCCACACCTCAATACTCGCCGCCCTCCTCTCCACCGTCAACAACAATGCAGCTACATTGCAGAACCGCCGCACGCCACCTCTTCACCGCTTCACCAATCCGCCACCGAACACCACCCAAAATCACCTATCTCGGCCACCAATTTAACCAATTCGCATCCCAATTTCACGAATTCAGCCTCCGATTGCGATAATTTGTCAACGAACAACATCAATTAATTCCCAATTTTGAAACCCAGATGCGCACTCATGATGAGTGTCGGGTTTGGACAGCACTCATGGAGGAAGAAATGAAGGGCGTGAATGGAGGAAGAGGAAGAGTCTGGAGAAGGAAAAAGAGGAAGAAGAGGAGGAACGGACAGTGAGAGAGTGAGGCTGTGAATGTGAGGGAATTAGGATTTAGAAAGGAAACTGATTTTTTTGTTTTGATTTTTGAATTTTTTTTTTTTTTTAAAAAAAACACAATTTTACCGGGTTTTAGGTTCGGACCTGAAACCCCCAGTTTTAGACTGGAACTGGAATCCCTGAATTTCAAGGACCGGAACCGGACCTGAAGCTACAGGTCCGGATCAGGGCCAGTCTCAATAGATCCAGTTCAGGTCGGTTTTCAGGTCCGGTCGTGTTTATTTACACCCTTAATAAAGACCATAAACAAGGAAAGTTTGAAGCATATTTTACTCTCTTTGTTCCTTCAATTCGGTAGGCAAAATAAGTTTATATTTGTTTTTGTTTGTTAATAAGTGTCTCATTTTGATCAGTATATACTAGTTAACGCAGAACTTTGATCAATAATAAGTTTTACTATCAATATGTATTAATTATAAAAAAAGCTAATGTTCAGAATTTATAGCTTAAAACGATTCTAACAAGTACCTATATGACTATATTTAATTTTTATAAGGAATTAACAACATTGGTTATAATGATACGGTGTATGTAAATAATGCAAATGTAAAATTGAGCCACTTAAAAAGAAAGTGAGGGAATTTTTTTTTTTTTTTTTAAGTTGGTTTAAGTTGGTTAAACTTCATCTCAGCATGCAATTACCCACCATTTTTTCTTTTTCATATATTTTATTTACATATAAAAAACTTACAAAAAAATACTAACTTGGTTGTATTTTTGACTTTATCCATTTCAAAATGTTATTTACACTTTCCTTTTTTATTCATCAAATCCCACAATTTCTTAAATAAAGTATGCTTTTGTAAGATTATTGTAAAACGGGATAAAGTTACCCTAAAAGCATTTAAGTAATCCTTGTATAATGTATACTATAAAAGTAATCATTATAAACACTCATAATGCACGGAGTATTAGATTAATCATATTATTCTTATAACATGTATTAATTAAAAAATACACATTAAAATACAATCAAATTCAATAAAAATTAATATATACTTTCAAATGGGTTAAAGCTAAGTTACTCCCAGATTGTCCGTCTTTCAATAAAATTAACGAAGGTCCGCCTTAAATAAGACTTATTGATCAAATAAGTGTAAATGGTATTTTTGGAATGACCTAACTGACAATTTACCACGACTAAAAAGTTTGATCCTCAATGTGAGTACATTGCAGGACTATTTCATCTATTCTTTCCTGCTTCCACACTCCACCAGTTCACAATGGATGACTTTTCTGATCTATTCATTATTACTTGATACAAAAGTACATATTTTTATTTGCAAAAAAACATGTTTATTTTCACATAATCTCATGGTAATCCCACCAATGTTTAGCTAGAAACTAATACTATATACTTGTAATATTAAATTCTGCTAGCTATTATTGGGAATGTATTTTCACAATAAGATTCAATTAGAAATTGATTGGTAAAATAAGCATTGGTGGAATTAACATGAGATTATGATATGGTATGATATGATATGTATATTAATTGGTAAATTAAACATTGAATAAGTATATTGAGGTGGTATGTCATGACTATTTATGTTAATGTTAATTAGGTTACCAGGAAAGGCGTATGCAAAAGGACAACATATGTGGCTAACAGGAGCAAATGAGGTTGATAGCAAAGTATTTTCTAGAGCAATTCTTGCCAAGGTAATAATCTCTACTTAAATTAACATACGTCTCACCTAAAATCATTGTTTTATACATCTAACAAAAAAAATGAAAATTGAAGATAATGTATTTTTAAATGCTAATTACCTATTTTCTTTATTAAAATAATCTACTCTGTAATGATTTTGATATGAACCCTTATTATATATACATGAAAAATAAATAAATAAAAATAAATAAATAAATTTCTATTAAAATATCAAACTTACGTACTTATGCACATAATTTTTTAACTCAATCTCGATCTACACAAGCAAGTAGGCTTAGGTCATATTATTCCATGCAAATGGACAATAGTTGAGATTATTATGAGCCAATTTTTCTAAAATAAATGAAGGTAGAAGATAATGATTAAATTGGTTAATAATATCTCAACTAAAGAAAATTAGAAAGAGCTATTCAAAAACAAAAAAAAAGAAAGAAAAAAAAAAGAAAAGAAAATTAGAAAGAGATATAATTGGATTTGTAGCCTTTAGAAGTTCAATCGTGAAGACGAGACAAAGACAATAAACAGCTTAGCTCTGTGGCTAGCTTATTAACCAACTTGGCTTTTGGATGAGAAACATATTGCATTAGATTATTGTACCTAGCTGTTCGCCTGGCGATGCTTTGAAGTCGTTTCCATGCCAATAGCAAATATGATGTAAAGGAAATTTGATCACATGTTTTGAACACCTCACCCCAAAACTTTAACCAACTAAAGTAGTTGATTATTCACAATGTTATAAGTTTATTTTTCAATTTTTTTTTTTTTTTTTTTTGACAAGAGCTTACACAGAATAGGAAACTAATAGACAAAATTAAAAGAGGATAAACTAGAGTTTGCTGTAGCAAGAATGTGTGCCCTCTCCACTACCACTCGATCCACCTTGAGAACGGCACACCACTCGAACCTGCTGCTTAAGTGGCGAATACGAACAAGTGTCCAACGAATAGCAATATCCGAGTCTTGGGCACCCCAAAGGTAACGGACAACTGTAGTAGAGTCTGTATAAATTATAACCGCACGAAGCGACCTTAGGACCGCCCACTGTAACCCTGCCAAACACGCATTCAACTCCGCATGCAGAGCAGACTGAGCAAGCCTAGAAGAAGCCCCTCCAAGCCAGCCCTGTTCCCCGTACTCCCCAAATTCTGGACACCAACTCATAACATTGGGTTGCGGATGATAGACCAATGTTATGAGTTTGGTAAATGACTATTAACTGTTAAGGAAAAGAAATACTTTGTAGTATTGGAGAGAGAATGTGAAGGCTAAAGGTCTATAAATTTTATTTTATTTTTTTATTTTTTTTTACAAAGGATAAAAAACAGACTACAAATTAATACTAAAGCATGCAAATAAAATTAACTGCTGCTTCTCCAGCAATTTGATGAGCACAATGAACACGCTGATGATCTGCCTTATGAACACGACAATACTGAAAGGTTGAGCCAAGCCGCCTAATCTTGCTGATGAGCTAGAGGTAATCAATGTTACCTTGACCATCCTCCCGAAGAAGTGTAACAAGATTATAGGAATTAGTAAAGACTGTGAGGGACTAAAACCCATTATCCGAAGCCCATTGTAAACCATACAAGCACGCCATTGCCTCCGCGTGTAAGGCTGAAGTGCAAACGCCGAAGTTACTTCCGCCAACGATTCGGTCATCCAACGGGTCCACATTATCCAAGCACCACCCCATCCCAGCATGTTGAGAATCTTTGAACCAAGAACCATCAATTTGTATTGATAGTAAAGCATTCCCTTGGTTGAGCAATCCAAGTTGAGCTGCATAAAAACCAGGCGGAGGCGAGATAGCAGCTTGACCCCTAGTAACAAAAGGGGAGTACCAGAAGTGTCGTGGTCGAGGAATATTCTATGAGAATCCATTACCTCCACAAACTGATAAGCAAAAGAGCGAATTGCAGTAGAATCGCTGAAGATTCTGGAATTCCGACATAACCAAAGGCTCCAAAGGGTACCAACGAAGGTGCCCAGGCGAGTACTACTAGGCCCATCCTGACTAATAAAAAGTCGGATATAACTTAGATCCAATCTCAGAGAGAAAGGTCTCCATTAAATTCTGAGTGAATACCGAGGCATTCACCCCTCCAAATTGTTCTTGCATTACAACACATCCTAAAGAGATGTTGTAAATCCTCCAGTTCAGTATTGATCACAACACACATCTTGAACCGGAACCCCTCTATGATGAAGCTCCACCTTGACTGTGAGAGCACGACAGAGCAATTTCCATAAAAATAATCAACTTCCATTTAGGCTGTAACTGCAAAGACCAAAGAATTTTCCGAAAGGAGCCTACACTTGAAGCTACTAGGGCTCCAAGAGGTTGTTGATGAAGCATTGCATAACCTGTCTTGACCGAGTACCTCCCTGAAGGGGTACTAGACCAGTACCGAAAGTCTTCCTGTGTAGTATCTGGCAATTCCATAGCAAGGATTATCAATGCATCTGTGTGCACAAACCAGTCTGACAGTTTATCAGTGTCCCACCCGTTGGTCTGCGGATGGATAAAATGACTGATAGTATAATTCCCTGGAGCGCGTAGTAAGATTCTTGGTTTAAATTCAAGAATGCTACCATTAACCCATTTAGTCGAGCCGGCTAGAGTAGAGCAGACATTACTTATTTTCCAATTACAACCCTGTTGTAAAAGTGTATCTGCCCTAAGTAACCCACGAAGGCCATAAGAATAACGACCCGAGAATCTGGGCCTAGTGTCAGAGGTATTGGAAAGAAAAAGTAGTGCGCGTAGAGAAAACCTTCGAAACAAGGAGTTGCGGATTTGTAACAAACCTCCAAACTTGTTTCATTAGGAACGCCTTATTTAAGGAGGACAAACATCGAATTCCCAACCCGCCCATGCCACGAGGGAGATGCATGGTATCTTTATTAACCCAATGCATACCTTTAGAATCAGAATGCGCCCAAAAACAGCGCATCAGTAAATAATCAATTTTTCCAGTCACTGAAAGCGGAAGCTCATAGCAGGAAAGGACATGAGATGCCCCATAATTACAAGAATAGAGTTAATAAAGATTAACTTTTACGATTGGGACAGCCTGATAGTATTTAGGAAATTAATCCTTCCGATAATTTTGTCGATGACGAATTGGAAGTGATCCTTCTTTTTGCCGACAAAGTCATTAGGAGCACCCACATGATGATCGAAGACCTGAACTTGTTTCATCCGGAAAAATCAATCTGAAGTCCTCCTGAACTGTAGCACTAATATTCAAGCTAAACTTAATTAGAGATTTTGAAAGGTTGAGTTCCTCTCCCGAAATTTTAGTAAACCGTTGTATGATTTGGACAATGTTAGAACACGCAGTAGATGAAGCACGGAAGAAGATAAGATCATCATCGGCGAAGAATAAATAGGAGATAACAGGACTATTTCTTGAAAGCTTAATTCCTTGAAACAACTTCAAATCTTGGCCTAGATGTAACATCCGCAAGAAAATATCCATGCAGAAAAGGAAGAGGTACGGTGAGAGAGGGTCACCCTGGCAAAGACCACACTGTGGTTTGAATGGGTCCGACGTCGTACCATTGATAAGGTACTTATAAGAGACCGTGGAAAGACATTGTTGGATCATTTGCAACCAACGAGCTGGAAACCCATAGGCCTTCAAGACCTGTAAAAGAAAGCTCTAATGAATTTGGTCATAAGCCTTACTCATATCAATTTTGATCGCGGCTAGCCAGTTAGAACCAGATTTAGAAATGTTAATTTGCTCCATTAATTCATGACTCAACAAAATGTTATCCGTTATAACTCTGCCTTGAACAAAGGCATGTTGAGAATCTAAGATAAGAAGAGGCAAATATTGACGCAGTCTGGCAACCAAGCACTTCGAAGCGCATTTGTAAATCATATTACAGAGGCTAATTGGACGTAAATGTCCTATCTCCGTCGGAGTCCCAATCTTCGGAATCATAACAAGGAGAGATTGATTCCACTCTTTCAGAAGGAACCCTGTCTGAAATAAACTTTGAATGCCCCTGTGACAACCGAATCTCCAACAACATCCCAGTGTGTTTTGAAAAACTCAGTTGTGATCCCATCCGAACCAGAACACTTACAGTTTCCTAAAGCAAACATGCCATCCCTTATTTCCGCAGCCGAAAAGGGTCTTTCCAAATTATTGAGTTAAGAGGAAGTGAGCCGTGGAAGATCTAATTCACGCAAGACAATGTCAATTTTCGGATCATATGGAGGCATAACATCACTCTGAAAGGTCTGTTTAAGAGATTTCACGACAATATGTTGAACGTCCGTCTGACCATGCTGAAGAACACCTTGGTCATCAAGTAAAGAAGTAACCTGATTCTTCATCTGTCGAGTTTTGACATTAGAGAACAGTATCTTTGAGGGGAAATCACCTTTGAGTATCCAATTTTTCTTACAACGTTGTCTCTAGAACTGAAGCTGTAGTAAAACACTGTCCTTCGAAGTAACAATATTAGACATATACTGAGTTGCATCGGGAACAGACTAAATTGACTCCCTTCAATGGAGAGATCCTTTGAAAAAAAATTCCAATCCACGCCCCAGAATTCCTTATTGTTAAGACACCACTTCCGAATTAGTGCCTTGGTATGGTCTAAATTTTTCGGAAGGATAAACATTGGAGAGCCAATAGTATTCCTTTGCCATGTGTAATGAACGAAGTCATGTACCTGTGTATAGTTGAGGCACCAATTATCCAATTGATAAGGACGGTTTGACGTATGCTGGAAAGGAGAGTCGTCAAACACAATAACAGCATGATCAGAAACAAGAATCGGTTGATTAAGTAAACGACTATCAGGATAGTTATGAAACCAATCAGAGGTCATATAAGAGCGGTCTTGCCGTTGTAAAATAAGTTGGTGTGCCTCCCGATTATTTGTCCAAGCGTAGAGGGAGCCTTTGAAAGGAGTGGAAAATAAACTGAATTTTAATCTAATATCAATAAAGGAATCCCAACCCTTAATTACACTAGAACCACCCAACCTATCATAGTGATGCTCTATTTGATTAATATCACCAATAATCAAACAATTAGAAGCAAAAGCAAGTAAATCTAAAATCAAACCCAAGACTTGAGGTCTATCTTCCACAACAGGAGCACCATAAACAAACATCACACATCTACTTATTTCATTAAAAAAATTTATATTACAAAGTACAACGTTTGAACAACAAAAAACACAAGAAACATCTTCTGTACCAAACCCAAAAACCACTAAACCCCCACTACTACCATCCGAGTCAACCCCAAAACCGAGGTAGGACAAGACTACCAAGTAAACTAGTCACAACTGAGACTGGAACTCTAGTTTCACAAAGGAACAAAATAGTGTAGTAACCAAAACACATAAGGAAGCTTCAGAGAACTTTGGTCATTTAGTCCTCGGCAATTCCATGAGATGAACTTCATAAAACCTTGGGGAGCTGTGAAGGGCCAGCTACCTTACCAAGGTTGTCCAAGAAAAGCAGAAGACAAGTGACCAGAAAAAGCACCTGTACCATTACGAAAGGCCTTAAAAGCAAACCCATCAGCTGAAAATTTTAGTAACTTACGAGAAGAAGCGGAGCCAGCCTCCTCCACCTTCCTTTTACCACCAGACAAGCCCATGAAACGGTTGGAAGGGCAGCCCGTAGAATTGCCACCACACTGAGCAGGAGATCTAGCCAAAAAACCCAAGTGCTCTGCAATAGAAACATCCTAGAAAGACTTAGCAACAGCCTGTCATGAGTCATTAGCAGACAAGGTGAACCCACCCTTGCACATTAAGAGCCCTAATTTTGCGACGTTTTTGAGACCATGTCGAACTATGATAACCAAAAAAGGGTCTTGATCATACGATCGACACCGATGAAAGGGGCCACGAGAACTCCTTTTTTGCGGCCTAGTATCGATTTTATTATGTATCTGACGCATAGAAACAGCAGGTTGTGCATTTGCGGGAAGCTGGGCATCTGATTTGTCTTCTAAGAACAAATTTTCAAGCAATGCAGGTGTAAAATCAGCTGCGGCAGAGCTGATTACAGGAGGCAAAATAAATTCCTCTGAGTCTGATCTATCCGTAAGGAAGCTTTCTTCAAGGGCTGCTGAAATTCGAAACCCCCCACCAGAAATAAATTGAGTACGAACCTCAGTAAACGGCGCATATGGGTCGCCTTCTGAAATAGCAGCCCGATTCTCATCAATAAACCTTGTAGAATTCGGATTATGATACGACTCCGGAGTGGTTGGGTCCGTTTCAAAGGACAAAAACTCTCACTCCTCTGTTCAGAAGCAGAATTATAGTCAGAGCTATGCGAAGTAGTAGAAGCAGCCACATTATTCGGGTGAGACATGTATCCATTTTGGTAAACCCCACTAATCGGAATAAATTCAGGTTCTATGTTATCATTATTATCCCCAGTAGGAGCAGCTTCAATGACATGACCATTCGGCAGTACGTGATCCCCTGCACCTAATGAATTTGAGTCCGAATTATCAGGTTCATTATCCTCACCCTTCTGATCATTATAAGGAGGTTCCTGTTCGTCTTCATTATCATCATTATCCTATTATCTTCACGGTTATTATCATCATCATTATCCATATCATCATTATCATCATCGTTACCCGAACTATCATCATTATACTCGAAGTCTTGCGCCAGAACAAGAAGGTTCACTCTTGTGTTACGAGTTCTAAAATTTTCCTGAGTTCCCTCCATATTCGTATATAAAGGCCGATTATGTGGGCAATATAACACCGTTAATCCTTGAGATTCAACGTCTCCATCCTAGCATGAACGCGCCTAGCAGCCACATAATCCGAACACTCGCAAATCTCCTTATAATGACCCACACAACCGCACTTTTTACAATGCTTAAATACCCCTTCATACCTGAAATAAACCCAAGTAGGAGAAAATTCACCCGGACATAACACCCAGGTATTAAGGATTTAGAAAGATCAACTAAAACCTGCCCACGGAATTCAGGTTCATCAGGCAGCCCATCCTCATCATATTCAAGAGTTTCAACCAACCCTACAAGATCTAAGGTTTTAACAGCCCATTTCGGATCAAGAAACCCTAGAGGAAGCCCGTTAACACGAATCCACAATCGATTCATATCAAAATTAACAGAAGCAGGCACAGTGTATCTATTACACCTACACCATCCAAAATGAAAGTGTGTTGCTCAAGTAAAGCCTCTACGTCCGCCAAGTTTGAGCATGCAAAAATAAAGTAATTACCAATTTACCAGTACGATGCACAACAATATTACCTCGTGTGAGCCATTGAGTATCGACCATTTGTTGAACAATCGCGCGACTTGGAGGATTGGGCCCAAAGAATCGCCCAATAACCGCTTTGTTCCAATCGGTATTAGTAATATAATGCTCCAAAGGTTGATTTAAATACACCCCCAATTCAATACACGGTCCAATGATTGAAGTTAGCCATTAATAAATAGCAACAAGGACAGAAAAGGTTAAAGGCAAGAGTAGTGAAAGTGAAGGAAAAGAGCAGTAGAAACTTGATTTGGGAGTGAAGAACAGGAAGAGGGTCGTTTAATTGGTAAAAAACCTCATAGTGCATGTACTCCACGTGTAGAACAAAGGAAAAGAAAGGTGAGCAAGCTAGGATAGTGGGTCAGCTCAAGAACACAACCTTGAGTATTAAGGAACGCTTCTCACAGTAAAAGGATACTTTAAAAAAATCCAAGAAAAGGATTGATTGGTGTGTAAAAACGGTTGCTTGGCACTAGAAATCCAATAACCAAGATGAAAAAGAACAGGATTGGTTGAAAAAAAAAAGGATTGAAGTTTAAAAAAAACCTCAAGAACAAGTAAGAAACCCTAGAAACCTAGGCACCGACTCAGAATATTGAGAGAGAAAGACCTGCTTGCTTTTATGAAATTTGTAGATTTTTTTTTGGTTTGGTCTATAAATTATTGTGTCAATGATACTTTGTCATTAACCATCTGTTAACGCCCAAAATTTAAATTTCACTAATTGCTAACGAATTTCATTTTATTTGGTAAACTAAAAGCACCAAGCTAATTACAAATTCACTTCTTTATTACTATAAAGTTAAAACATAAGCTTTGTTGGAATACACTTGGTATAAGTTATCTGAAAAAAAAACTTTTTATAAAAGGTAATTAATGACAAAATAGTCTTATATTAAGTTTATCAACATGGAAAAATTTCCAAAGGGTAGAACCAAACAATACGAAATATAACAAAATATAATCAGATATTCAGGAGAAAATTTCAATCTCTAATAGTTTGAGTCTTCAACAACTCTAATAATGTCTGACTAAGTTTTGTTAATATCAATAGAGTTCTGTGTTGATATTAAGATGATAGCATCTAGATATAACTTAATAATAGCGAGTATTATTAAAATAATTGATGACTCGGGTTATTAGAGGCTAAAAATTCAATTATTTTATAGTAGTATTAGTAGTACCCTCCTAGTGGTGGAAACACAAACGTTCTAACCTCCATTTTATTCCTCTTTTTTTCATGGTCTGCTTGGAACTCTTCTAGAGTGCTCGAATACAAGTACATTGTTCCATTTCCAACGAAATCAATTCATGAAAATGCTAAAAGTATACTTGTCTACTTTAATTATAATCCTACGTATTTCCTTCAATCCATATTAGTATCGCAATGATTAAATCTTGGCATTACTTACATACTATCATTGTGATTTTTACTTGAATAAATATATAATGTGAATACTTGTAAGTATAAATATTTGGTTTTTGACATTAAACATAATCAACTTATAATATTTTACTTAATACTCCGTAATACAAAGTATATAATCGAATACATTCATAATAAAGTTATGCATTGAAATGAATATATCTTCACTACTGTAATAATAAGAGAATGGAAAAGTATGTATTAATTCTGACTTTAATATTATCAATAAAATCTTTTTGAGACAAAAAATGAGTAATTAACCAAAGTTTATTCTTTGACAACATGAATTGCAGACTGTAGTGTGCATACCTGTAATGGATGGTGTGGTGGAGTTAGGATACACCGAAAGAGTAAGTCAACATTTCTCCCTTATAACTTGCTACGTATAAGCCGATGTAGGTATGAATGCCAGATTTCATGGTTAATGTTCTCATTCATGTTACACACAAGCTTACTACTTTCTGATTTACAACCGCACAAATTTTTGTCACGTTAATTAAGATCACTAATATATATATGCAAATTAATTACTTTCTTACCAAGAGAGTAAAAACCAATATAACCCTTTTTCCTCCTAAATTGTTGTACTTTTTACTCAGTGTTTATTTATTTGGGATTCCTCTACTTGACTTCAACGATGTACTTTGCTTTCATACAAACACTTTTTTTTTCGGAAGCAGGTTCAAGAAGACCCATCTTTTATTCAACAAGTCAAATATTTTTTCGACGACCACTACCACCACCACCAGCTCCATAATGAACTACCATTACAACCAAAACCTGCACTCTCGGAGCACTCTACCTCCAATCCAACTGCATCCTCCAACCATTCCCACTTCCAGTCTCCTCTTGTCCTTGCCACATACACCACTGTCGACCCACTACCTATTCCTAGTGATGGAGCCAACAACAATAATGAGAACGATGAGACTGAGGGCGAAGCTGACTCAGATCCTGAGGCCCAGACAATCCTTGGCTTGCCAGTAAAGTTGGAACTACGATACCAAAAAGGTGATTCATTGTCCTCTTGAGCCATATTTACATGGCCTTTATTCTCCTGATGGAGAGTACAAAGCAGCCATAATATTGGGACTTTGGGAGTATGATAATATTTTATGTATGACCTTAATTCCTTATGTAAGAACTATTAATACTCAGCAATATTTGTTTCCAGGTATTACCGTTGTTCCTGACTCATCTGATGAGCCAAGCGAGTTAATGCAGATAGAAATACCGGAGGACATACAACTCAGCTCCCCTGATGTTGTATCCAATAACCTTGACTCGAACTTTCCCTTAGTGGCTGTTGGTCCAACACCAAGTCACCAGCATCACACCGTTGACTCATTCATAACAACGAAGTCAACTCGAAGATGGCCTGTTATGCAACAGCAACAACTACAGGATCCAATAATTATTAGCAACAACCTCCAGACACCATCTCTAGGTAAATTAGTTTCTTACCTTAGGCTCCTTAGGCTTGTCTTTACAATTCTAAACTGTTACACTATCACTTCAAAGCCAAAGAAAAGAATTTTCACTTCCTCAAAACCTTCATGAGGAATCAACTCTCACAATATTGAATCATTGCACTATTGTTCCCACATGTTAATTTAACCTAGCTAGTATAACATCCTGAACAACTTGCTAGACCTTCAATTGTGACTGCCCGCCATAAAGGGTAAACCTCCATAGTTCATACAATATCACAGCCTATTCACAGGTCTATCATGAGAAAAGAAGGAACAAAAACATAAACATCAACCAAAGATGAACACTCAACCTAAAAAAGAAAAAGAAGAAAAAAAAAACACTTTAGACTATATTGAATGTAAGTTCTACTGATAAACCTTAAATTAAAAGTGTATAGGACATTAATCAAAACAAACTACTAAAAACCACTCGTCTTAATTCTTAACTAAAGTATTATGAATATGATCTTTAGATTTTCATAGTATATTGTACAAGCTTATTTTGTTCTATACCTGTTGGTGTTCAAAGACTATTGATGTATGTGTAAGTGTGTAACAAGAGTTGCAGCTGGTATATTGTTAGCATATGTGTCCTAGCAACTTTTTTTTTTTAGCGTTTATTGTGGTGCTTGATAGCTTAATGTTATGGCTAGTTGGCTACCATGACGGAAGAAGTCATATTCCCAACCCTTCTACTTCGCAGCTATTATACTAACTTAAGACTAAGTTCTTGACCAACGCTTAATCATAATAATGCATGCAGCCAAGGCTTATTTCTGGACTGTCTAATTTTCCAGGTATCGCTCCAATGGAAAGCCTCTCCCAAGAAGACGCATACTACTCCCAAACCGTCTCTATCATCCTACAACTCCAATCTAGCCGATGGGCAGAACCCTCTTCTACCACCTCTGTTGCAACCTCTTCTTACCTCTCCTACTCTTCAAACTCTGCCTTCTCAAGCTGGACACCAGGGTCCAACCACCACCACTCACCAGTGGAAGGCACCTCGCAATGCCTTCTTAAAATATCCTATTCACAGTTCCTCTCCTTCATTCCATGTACCGCGAAGAGAACGTTAGCTCCCCAAGTCAGACCTGCATTACATGGCCCTTGGTCGCGGGAAGAGCACTAGTGGACCTCCTCATGATGAGCTCTCGGCCAGTCATGTATTAGCTGAGCGTAGGAGAAGGGAGAAGTTGAACGAGAGGTTTGTCATTTTGAGGTCATTGGTGCCATTTGTGACAAAAATGGATAAGGCCTCTATTTTAGGAGATACCATTGAGTATGTGAAGCAGCTACGCAAAAAGGTACAGGAACTTGAGGGGCGTACAAAGTCTGGAGAGGAGAGAGATAAGAGGAAATTGCAGGTGATAGAAGAAAGCAGCAGTGGAAATGAAATGAGGGTAAAGAAGACAGCAGCACAGTTGCAACAAAGTAACATGTTAGAAGTGTCGATAATTGAGAGTGATGTATTGGTGGAGTTGCAGTGCCCATATAAGGAGGGGTTGTTGCTGGATGTCATGATCAAACTGAGAGACATGCGCCTAGAAGTTACTACAGTGTTGTCCTCCCTTAACAATGGCCTTCTTGCAACAGAGTTAAGAGCCAAGGTATTATTTCTCTTAATCCCTAGTAAACCACTTCACCAGATTTTCTTAATTGAAGAAAGAATGCCACATTTTCTATCACATGCATTACTTTCCTCATTTCTCAACCCAGCATTTCTTTTTTTTTAGAAATTAACATTCTGTTCATTTTCATTTCCTCAAACAATACACATCCTACAAGACGCAACATTTCATCCTCATAAAATAATGTGAACTCCAATATACTCTGTTTAAATCTCTATTAAACAGGCCTTTTGTAAGTTATACTGAAGTTCCACATAGATTGATCCTGGGTTCAAATCTTCACTCCCCCTAATTACCTAAATGCCTCCAAAATCTTCCCTCCCTCTAAAGTTATTCTGGTGTGGACCAGAAATTTGCAGCAGACTAGTCATGCTCAATATTTTAGCATCAGTGTTGCTGTGAATATACTAGTCACAAGCATTTTCTTCGTGCTCAATCAAAATATCAGATGTCCACAACCATTTTGCAGTCAAGTAGAATCAAAGTTTGTAATATTTACATTTAAAAAAAAAAAATTATTGTATAATTTTTGAATTTTATGAGCAGGTTAAAGAGAATGTTAATGGAAAGAAACCCAGTATAATTGAAGTGAAGAGGGCTGTGAATCAAAAAATACCTCAAAGTGACTCATAAGTTTTAATGTGCATCGGAACAATGCATGTGCACTCAGCTCTCTCCATGTATCTTATCTTTATCCACAAAGTGATATTCAATTATTTAAAGTGTAACATACAGGAAGTAATGCAGAGAATAGAACTGCCTAGCCTAGTAGCCTCACATGTTGCAGCCAAAAAATACGGTAAGGGACCATATGGTCGACCCTGTCATTGCTTTTATTCAAGTAGAACACAGAACATTGGAGATGTAACCATGATAAATTCAAACATTGGAAAAAGAAATATAACAACTACTGCTAAAGATTACTGTAAAAAGGCATACAAATGGAAAGTCCTTAACTATATACCCGTTTTAAAGTTGTCATTGACCTTTAATCTTCAGGTGAAGGATTCCCTAAAGCAATGCCCTTGATTACATGCCGGCACTGAAACCTGCAAAATGACTATATTAAGGACATAGTTTTCATACACACTATACAGAAAACCCTACATATAAATAAAGGTTCTGCTTGAATTAAACTATTAGTATGATGACAGACCCAGAGGCCAGAACAAGGAAAAGCAAGTAGCCATGGCATTTTTGGCCATAAAGCATTTCAGCAAACAGAAGTAAGCATGAAATTATCTGCTGTTAACAAATTATTAGTGGCTATTGTTTATAAAATACTTAGCAATAATATCAAAGACAAACCATTTACGGCCAACTTCAATCTAAAAAAAAAGCTGCTATGTAAATGAAGGTTCTACATTTGATCTCAACTATCAACACTATTGAAGGAGACTCCCCAAAAATTGGAAATTAAGCGCACCAACTGTAAATTATTCTACCGTTCCGATACAGATAAAAGAGACTGCATGTTGTATAGCTCTCAGTGGAAACACATCTATGTAATGACTAGTGAGCAAGTAGAAGCCAATACTCTCATTTGAGTTCATAGTCAGAAATATATGAAAAAAAAAATGAAACATAAGGCTATATTTTCAAACTACTGTAAGAAGTCAAGAGAAAAAGTTTAGAGCATAAAAGACATTTGTACCATGTTATATCACTGCATATAAAATTGTTCTCATTGAAGTCAGTGATTGCGCCTGGGGCAAAAGAAGATGATAATGATTCATGATGAGAGGTCTTGCATCTAAGCTGTAGCCTGAATGGTAAAATCTGCAGAATCAAAGCACGTGATATTGAAGAAGTCAAGATGATAGTGCTAAGATTTAAAAATTAAGTGCTCAAAAACACATCTGATTATTGCATTTGCATTTATAATGGACTGAATTATTTGACTGATATAGCCAGGTTACTGAATTTGCTGGATGGCATTTCAATAAAAGGGTTACAACCTTCTTTGAGAATTGGAAGTCACGCTTTGGTAGAAAATGCAGAGGCATGTTGAAGGAAGTTGGAGCCTTCACCAGGAGAAACAACTTAGTAGGACCTAAAAACATTAAAGTAGAAGCAATGTTAGAACCATGTACACACTCAAGGAGATTGTTTTTAATCAGACAATGTACCTGTATAGGAGACGGATCCCACACCTTTAGAGATAAGTGCCCTTATGACCTGTCCAAAAGGAGTTAAGCTCACTTAGTATTAGTAGTCTCTAAGTTCAATGAAATATTGATATGGCATTAGTCGAACCAACCTTTTTCGAAAGCATCTCTATTGTTCGATTTCTGGCCTTATCTTCAGAATCTAAGAGAGCTATTCTTCCGTGAGGAAATACAATCTGATAAACATGTTGTGGTCGGTGTGGGCTTGCTCCAAAAACAAAGACTAAATCTTCAACACTGGGAAACTCACGGATCAAAAGCCAAAGAGCAGTCTGGAGACCAGATATTTTACTCATCAATTTCTCAGTTCTTCTAATCTCTAATTTGACATCTCTTTTCCTCCCAATGGCTTTTCTTCTAGATGAAGCATTGAGCTCACTTTGTGTAAGAAGTATCTCCTAAAATATAAAAGATCTTCAGACGATATCATTCAAGCTGATAAATAAATTCCACTGCATCCCATAAAACATACCGACTCCTGGTATTCAGTTCGTAGAGCATCAAATTGAAGAGTCATATCCTGCAACATGCTGCAAAAGGAGATCCCGATTATGGAAAGCATCATCATAAAATCAGAAGAAGTTAGCTTCAGTCATCTAGAAGATATCTTTGCACTTTATGACAGAAATAGTGAAATTCCCATCAAATTGCACCATCAAATTGCAATGCATAACATCCCATGGAAAACATAACATCAGGGCTGTGTTTGGATGGAAAGAAAATCATCATCCAGAAGTAAAGGGGCGGAAATAATATTCTGATGTAAAATTCCTCCTCTCTAGTGCTCCATTTTTCCTTCACTTCATTTTTTTTTTCCTTTCGCCTCTAATTTTTCTAGCAAGATTGATTCCAAGGATAATGAAGTTTAAAGTTGATGTCTATTGACCCCTATTTTACTGAACCTTGCTAAACAAACTCTAAGTATTATCTAAAAAATTTAATAATTAATGCCTACTCCTAAAATGCCTATTATACTACTAATGGAAGAATAAATCCATTAACTCTAATCACTTGGACCACAAGTCTACAACAGTAAGGTCGAACATGAAGTTTAATCAGTTCTAATAGAACATCTCATGTATCTTCAACATCTGCAACTTAAATTATCCATGCCATTCCTTCTAATTACTTGTCAAGTACTCGCTTCTACTAACCAAAAAGATATTACCAGGATTAATTATTACCAAAAAGGCGACAACTACCTTGAATCTCCCTCAGAAAAGTGTATGTGTCTATTCATGATCATATGATAAATTCATATTCCTATAACAGGATTGTTAGTTCACCATAATGCAGACTTTTGGGCTTTCAGCAGTACTTATTGATTGATTCTATTTCATTGGATGTTTGCAATTTCCCATTTCATTAGTAATAAATAGGTAATACTAGCAAATCTGCTTAGAAAATTTTTTAAATTGAATGAATTTTAAGAAGTATTTAAATTGTGCTTCATATTGCAACTAGCAATAATCTTCTTAATCACATTTATCAATGATTTTTGCAATTAAAGCATAATCGCAACAAGACAAACAGTAAAAGATCAACAATACCAATACAAAGAGCTGATTTTATCTCAATTTTATAAATTCAACATGAACAATGTAAAATATTATCCCTAATTAATTACTTTTTGAAAATTTTCCACAAAATCGAATAAATTGATTGGGATAAAGTTCAAATTTTCCGAAATTAAGTTGATAATTGATGCTAATTTCACAAATTACACACTAAAGAAAATGAAATTGGAATCTTAAGATGATCAATTGGCATAATTGAAAATATACGAGAAATTGGAGAGAGAGGGAGAGCATACGAGGGGATTTGCTGGTGCATATAGAGCAAGAAACCTAAGACATCATAAACGACAAGGAAGACGAGAGCGCCATTAATGGAGGTGGAAGGGACCTCGATTTCTGTGTCCTCCGCCATTGTTGTTGCCTCTGGATTTCTCTCTCTTAGGCTCATTATTCCGAGAAGGAGAACTTGCTTCTAATCCTCAGTACTCGGATAGTGAAGGAGTTTTTGAAAATATGATTGGGAGCGGGAAGATAAAAGGAGGAAGTAATTGGGTCGTTCGAATCGGCGAGTCATTTTTATGTAAGAGTATTAAAGTAGTTCGTTTTGGGTTTAGGTCGGATTAATTTAGGTTGAATTGTTCTAGCTTTTATTATATTGTCGATCTATATCATGGTAAAAGTTATTACCTACACCCCAAATTGCAGCCAAAGTTTTAAGAATTCTCATTCTACCGTCCACGTCACCGGTTCAGGGGGAAGAAATTTTAAATCCGGTCTACAGCAAAACCGCTACCTGAAGTAGCGGTTTTTACTAATAAACCGCTACTTCAGGTAGCGGTTTCTTTTTAATAAACCGCTACTTCAAGTAGCGGTTTTTGTTTAATAAACCGCTACTTCAAGTAGCGGTTTTCTAGCAGGTATAATTTCCCGATTTCACTTTCCTCTTTCATTTTCGTCTTCTCACCAAAATCCCATCCACGCCTTCCACCAAAATCACACCTCCTTCAACGGAAGCCGGCGCAGCCAAGGAATCCACCGACGCCGCCGGAGCATTCCTCAGCAACGAAGGCCGCCGCTGTTGACGCCGAGGGTTCGACTTTAGTGGTCGGCTTCGTTAATTTCAGAAGAAACGTGCTGATCTTCTTGTTTGTGGTAAGTGCCCTAATTATTTTTTGTATTCAGTTATTGGGTTTGTTGTTGTTATTGAGTTTCAGAATTGTATGTATGTGTTGTTGTTGTTGGTTTTGGTTGTGTTGTTGTTGTTAGTGTTCTTGTTTATTGTTGTTGTTATTGATTTTCGGTTTTGGTTGTGTTGTTGTTGTTAGTGTTCTTGTTTATTGTTGTTGTTATTGAGTTTCGGTTTTGGTTGTGTTGTTGTTGTTAGTGTTCTTGTTTATTGTTGTTGTTATTGAGTTTCGGTTTTGGTTGTGTTGTTGTTGTTAGTGTTCTTGTTTATTGTTGTTGTTATTGAGTTTCGGTTTTGGTTGTGTTGTTGTTGTTAGTGTTCTTGTTTATTGTTGTTGTTATTGAGTTTCGGTTTTGGTTGTGTTGTTGTTGTTAGTGTTCTTGTTTATTGTTGTTGTTATTGAGTTTCAGAATTGTATGTATGTTTGTGGTTGGTTTTGGTTGTTGTTGTTGATTTACTTACCTTACATATAACCCTTGTAGAATTATTAATGGTTTCGATCACATTACTCAGTTTAGGTTGCTATAATTGCTGATTTTGAAAGTGAAAATAGAGCTTCTATACACAAAGTACATGAGCTCAAAGTACATGTAGTCATGACTTATGCCCATGTTGAGCTTCAAGAGGTATTAAGACCTTCATAGCTCATTTTAGGTTGCTATAATTGTGTAGTTTGCTTGCTTGATGTTAGGACATTGCCACACTGTTAATGAATTTTTGCAATCTAATATCTTTGATTAATAATGGTCTTTTCTAGAATGAAACATGGAGGTTCCGAACTACCCTCTATATTGCTATTGGGGTGGAGAAATTGTCCACAAAGATAGCGATATAACGTATAGGGGTGGGAATCAAAAATTTGTGTTTGTACATTCTGCGATGACATATTCACAAGTTCTGAACAAGCTATATGAAGAATTGAGTGTTGATCCTAGAGGTGTGGAGTTGAAGGTGGTTATGCGTTATCCTATGGCTGGGGCATATGTTGCAATTCCGTTAAATGACGACAACGCTGTTAGAGCTATGTGGATTGCTGTGACTCAGAGTTCTTCTGTTGCAATGCAATTGTTCATTGAACAAGTTCCAAAGGAGCCAGTTGTGCAAACTAACACTGGTTCCTTTCCGGGGATGGATTTTTTTGGTAGTGTGGATCAACCGTTTTCCACTGGTGTTCAAAGTGTGGGCATAGGGTCATTCACAAGAATGCTTGTATGATCCACATTATGTCAATGACCATCTCTCACAGTTTAGGTCTCCGGCCTCATCGCCTAATGTTGGAACCTCGACAAGCACACAACCACAAGGCATTCTTGATTCTCTTGACCCAAACAATGTTGATGTATTTGGCGATGCAGAGATGAATGACACTGATGAAGATGATGATGAAGAGATAATTGACGCTCGTGATAAGGCAATTAAAGGAAGCGCCCCCACTTCAGACTTCAATGAAGTGGCGCAAGTTGATCCTCGTTTGAATAACTCATGGATGTCTTGGTTAGGAAATGAGACATATAACAATGGGGGAGAATTTGAGGTTGGTCAGCAGTTTGACTCATTGCAACAACTGAAAGATGCTGTGAAATCTTACTCCATAGCTAGAAATCAAACAATTCGAGTTGTGGAGGCAGAGCCAGAGAAATATGTTGTTGAGTGCAAGAGGAAAGAACAATGTAGTTGTTCGTGGAGGCTTAGAGGAGTGAAAGATCCAACACTCTCTACGTTTAAAATTGTGAGGTACTAATATAGGCGTTCATACGCGAAGTGTTTCGCACCAGTTCCTGATCCTTGCCACTGGTTAGCTTACAATGGTCCTACTACTATTGCCAACCCAGATTTGAAAAGAGGCCCAGGCCGACGGTCCACTAGAATTCGAAATGAAATGGATGAGCGTCCCAATCGTGTGAAGAAGGCATGCAGTGTTTGTCGGCGACCTGGGCATAACAAGAAGACATGTCCTACTCTTATTGGTGGATTTGGATCATCTGGGTAACATGATTAATTATATATTCTTGTTTAATATTTATGTTTTTTCTCGAACGCTTAACATTAATTCAATTTTTTGTTATCGTGTAGGTCCCATGGAGCCGGTGATTCGTCCAGGCCCAGTTGATCCATCTGTTCTACGCTTGCAGACTTCCCATAGGAGCCACGATGTTTGGAGTGGCGTAGCTGATAGAGTTCTCTCAGTTAGGGAGCATATGGTCAGCGTGGGACGTGAGTGGAGGGTAGATGGCGGAGTACTAGAGTACGTTAGGCTTGCTGGGTTTTACGGTGTACATAGGATTTTGGGAGGAGGGTTTTTGCTTGATCGATCTCTTCTTACGGCGTTGGTTGAGAGGTGGAGGCAGGAGACACATACTTTCCACCTAGTGGTAGGTGAGGCCACCATTACTTTACAGGATGTCTCCGTCCTGTTAGGTCTGAGAGTGCACGGCCCTCCTGTCATTGGACCTCCATTTGAGGGATGGCATGACCTAGTTGAGGAGTTGCTGGGAGTTCGACCTAGCCATGATGATAACGGTAAGCCGTTTCTGGAGGGATCTACTTTGAAGTTGACGTGGCTCAGACGTCACTTCTCACAGATGCCAGAGGGAGCTGATGACTTGACAGTTCAGCGCCATAGCCGTGCTTACATTCTCACTCTCATGGGATCTATTCTGTTCGCCGACAAGAGTGGCGATGCTGTGTCACTCTACTACTTGTCGTTCCTTCGAGACTGGGGGACAGCTTCGACCTACAGCTGGGGGAGTGCGACTCTTGGTTTTTTGTATCGGCAGCTATGTCGAGGATGTCAGCAAGATTCAAGACAGATTGGAGGCCCGCTCATCCTACTACAGTTGTGGTCGTGGGAGCATATTACTATTGGCCGACCATACATTAGGAGGCCTCGAGATCCGCCACAGGAGGACCCTGAGGCTGAGGATGAGGATGACATTTTGGGGACTCAGCATCAGCGAGGTGTTGACCCTTTGGCGTGCAGGTACAATGTTTGCTTCAAGTTCATGTTCTTACAATTCTATCTTTCAAGAATTATTATTAACATGTCTTTACAGGTGGTTACGCGTCCATCTATCGTGTGCGCATACTGCTTCTGGACTACCATACTACAGAGATGCGTTTGACCATCAGCGCGAGGACCAGGTACAATCGGTGTTTCTTTTTTTTTGTGCATTGTATTTCTTCCATTATGTTAGTCATATACATGTTGACATACTTGTTTTGGGAATTAGATGATTTGGCAGCCATATACTGAGGTGGTGATGGATCGACTTTCGGAGATTTGTCGCTCAGACATGCACATTTGGCGTTCACGGGCACCTCTGATATGCTTTGACGTCGTTGAGTTCCACCTCCCAGACCGAGTCCTTCGTCAGTTCGGGTTAGACCAGCCGATCCCACAGGATGTAGACACGGACGTTGCTCTACACAGGAAGGATCGAAGGGGACAGCGTAATTGGGAGATTCGGCATTCGGACCATGTACACGAGTGGAGTCGACGAGAGGCATTAGTCGTCCAGGGATACCCGTTCACTGGGACTTCTTCCCCGACCATGACAGAGTACATGGCTTGGTACCGTTGCATCACGAGACTGGTCATTACTCCACCTTCGCAGGAGCGCCCCCCGAGTCATTACCAGCCAGCTACCTCGGACCTCCTGCTTGTATGAACTTCACTTCATTTCAATCTAGTTCTTACGTTTTTTATTTCATTTTACTAACATTAAAACTACACTTAAATGTAGGCACATGCATTTGCTGATTTGCACGTCCAGCTATCGGGAGCTACTGAGACCATCTCCCACTTGCCACCAGAGACGGCTATACCATTTGCCATACAGACGATGCAGGGTTTTACATCATTTTGTGGCCAAACCTTGTCTAGGGTGGGGCAGTCACACCTTATTCAGCAGCCTCGACCGTCCACGTCTTCATCTTCTACTGTGCACACTATGCCGATCAGACCACCACCTCATCGTGGAGGCCATTCAGCACGTGCCTTCCGTCCACCGACTCCTTCTCAGCATACTATCATGACATCTCCTCCACTAGTGCATCGCCAGTATCAGAGAAACCGACGGCGTAGCAACACTACGTCTGGGGTTGGAGTTGGCCTGGATGACATTCCAGAGGAGACAGCTGCATCATCTTCATCGTCACCTCATGGGAAGAAGCAACGCCCGAGCTAAGTGTATATTTTGGAACTAAACTAATTTTTTTGTAAATGCTTAGAATTGGATTTTGTCATATTTAATCAATTGAAAAATATTCGACTTTGCAATTTCGACTTCCTTAGATCTTCATAAACTTGTTATTTATGGTGGTTGTGTTGAAAATATGCTATATATCTCATGTTTTACAGGTACACAACTTGCAGGTTTTTTTTTTGAGTGATTATGCAAGTTTGAAAAAAAAACCAGTCCAGGGTAAACCGCTACTTGAAGTAGCGGTTTTTCAAAGTAAACCGCTACTTGAAGTTTTCCAAAATAAACCGCTACATTAAATAG